ATTTATGCTCTTATAAATGCCTTAAAAATTTCCTACCATAAAATATATCACGTAGGTATTAATAGATTTATTATATATTATTAAATATAATATATCTCATAATCAATCATTTTTGGCATTGGTTTCGACTATGGAATGAATGTAAGGCCACATGTGGTTCCTTGACAACTTAACACATAACATTATTTATGTTAAAATGCAAAAATCCACAAAAGTTAATATGAATTTTATTAATTCTAATAATATATAATATAATATATATATAATATAATACATATATAGTATAATAAATATATATAATAATAATAATATATAAATAATATATATAATAATATGAATTTTATAAATATTTTAGTCTTCAATCTACGGTTGAAAACCAAGTTAAAAATCTGATTAGAACAACCAATCAACGCGGTTGTCACTTAATTTGAATTTTATTCACAATAGTAGACAGGTTTACTTTCTGCAACGTGCTGCCAAACGGATTCGATATATATTACTTCGTCAAAATATTGTTAAACAGTGAAATACAGTACAGTAATGTAGTTAAAAATTAAATATTGCGTTGATATTTAATAAATCTAACATATGTATGAAATAAAAACAGAAATATTGAAATGTGCAATCGAAACTTCATTTATAATGTAACAAATCTAGTCTGGCAATAACATCGTACAACATGGCAACACGGCAACACGGCGAGTTGGCAAGAAAGGAGAAAATTACAAAACAGAAGAAAAGAAGATGTCTGCTGCTAGTCGGAGAGTAGTTGAGTTGTTGACAATCCCGCGATTCGAACGGAAGCCCAAAGATAATTTGTAAACCATACATAAGTTCATAAATATTTTTAATTTAATAATTTTAGTTATATTTATATATATTACGATTAATAAAAACGTAACAATTGGTGTCAGAAGTGGGATTGTCAACAAACTGTGTTAAAAATGGTTAAATTGGCTGATTTAAAAATTCCACAATTGAAGAACGAGCTACAAGCACGTAATTTAGCTATTGATGGATCAAAGGCAAATTTACAAAGTCGACTACGCGATGCAATGGAGGCAGAGGGTATAGACGCAGACGAATTTGATTTCGAAGTTCCAGAAAGCTCCTCTAAGACAGAGTTAAAATCGACACAAGCAGATTCTTCACTAAAACTAGATACGAATGCGATATTAGCTGCCATTAAACAAATGAGTACAGAGAACTCAACAGCAATGTCACAAATGTCGGTTTAGCTGCGAGAAAATTCATCTCAAATGGAGGCACGATTTATGCAGCTGCAAGAACAGTTAACAAGTGATAATGCGCAAATACGCCAACAAGTGGAAAAGTTTGAAGATAAGCTACGGGATCTGAAGAGGGACGAAGAGGAGCTTAAATCCGAAGTGCTACAACTAAGCAGTCGTGTTCGTGATTTACAAGTACATAGCATAGCAGCACCAATATGCGCTCCAAAGCACAAAGCTCCAATGTTTGACGGAAGTGTCCCATTGCAAATATTTAAGCTTCAATTCGAAAAAACAGCGGTGGCTAATAATTGGAATACCGAAGATAAAGTAGCTGCGTTATTTATTTCGTTGAAAGGTTCCGCAGCAGAAATATTACAAACCATACCCCAGTATGAAAGAGAAAATTATGATACCTTGATGTCCGCATTAGAAAGGCGATTTGGAAGTCAACACAGGCAACAAATATACCAAATCGAACTACAAAATCGATGCCAAAACTCAGGTGAGACTCTCCAGAATTTCGCAGCTGATGTTGAGAGATTGGCACATTTAGCAAATGCAGATGCATCGGTAGACTATATCGAACGCGTAAAAATACAAAGCTTCATTAATGGTATACGAGACGTAGATACTAAACGTGCGGCACTTGTACTGCCTAAAAGAACATTCGCTGAAACGGTGTCACATGCGCTTACTCAAGAAACCGCATCACTTGCCACTAAGCCCATTCACAAGGTTCATAAAATGGAATTGGAAGAATCAGCAGTTGTAGAAAGAATTGTCACGGCAATTAAAGACACATTGGTGCCTTTTACCAAAACGACGGGTAAATGCTATAATTGTGGAAAACAGGGCCATTTTGCACGCAATTGTCGAGTTCAGCGAAACCGCTCTAATGCCGAACCAGCAAGAAGCAGCGCTGGAGATGAGGATAAGCAATTTAGTTTAACCCAACTCGTTAAACTAAAACGAACCAGTCCCAAGGGGCGGAAACTGGTTCCTACAACTATTGGCCCCACAGTATCAATCTCACAAATTAGTCGCCACAAAACAAATATTACAGTTAACGGAACTGTCAACGATCGTCCATTAATGCTAACTCTCGATACTGGTGCGTCGCATTCAATCATTCGCCGTAACATAATAAAGGGAAAGATAGAAACTTTGTCTGGTTACAAACTGCGAACAGCAACTGGAGAAGAAGCTACTATTGCTGGTAAAATGTCTTGCGAGACTCGGATGGGCACTATGGCGGTCAATCACACCTTTATTGTGGCCGACATCATGGACGACGTAATAATAGGACTGGACTTTATGTCTAAACACGGAGTGATGTTAGACTTAAAGAAGAAAATACTATCTTGCGGAAATATGGAAATGCCACTAAATACTGGATATGAAACTAGTGTAGAGGTCAAGGCGGTAACAGTTAACGACAATCAGAATATTCCACCAAAATCTGAAGCGGTTGTGTGGGCGAAAATGGCTGAAGGATGTGGGCCCTCCAACTTGTGGGTTGTAGAACCAACCAGCACCAATACCAATGTATTGGTGGGTAAAACGCTTGTTAAAACCAGAAGTGATGCGAGAATTCCAGTAAGAGTCTTGAATGAACTGAATACGCCAGTAACGCTTAAAAAGGGCGTAGTTATTGGACAATGTCATGCCGTGGAAGCGGTGATACTATGCGATGAGTCTCAAAACAAACCTGTCGCCATTCACCAGCAAATAAGTCCTGACCTTTTTTCGAGGTGTCTTGAAGATGTTAAAGGGAATGATAAAATGAAGGTCAAAAAGCTACTGCACAAATACTCTTCGATATTTGCTACTGAAGATAGCAAACCCGGAAGAACTGCCATCGTGAAGCATAGGATAGATACTGGCGGCGCGAAACCTATTCGGCAAACTCCACGTAGGGTCCCGCTTGCTAAACGAGAAGAGGCTAATCAAATAATAGATAAAATGCAGAAAAGTGGTGTAATTAAACCGTCAACGAGCCCGTGGAGCTCTCCAGTTGTACTAGTAAAGAAAAAGGACGGAACCACACGATTCTGCGTGGATTATCGGAAACTGAACGATATCACTAAAAAGGATAGCTATCCATTGCCTAGAATCGATGACACTTTAGACACACTATCTGGAGCGAAATGGTTTTCCACGTTAGATCTTCAAAGTGGTTATTGGCAAGTCGAAATTGAGGAGAAGGATCGTGAGAGGACGGCGTTCAGCATAGGCGATGGGCTATGGGAGTTCACAGTGATGCCGTTTGGATTATGTAATGCACCAGCAACGTTCGAGCGACTTATGGAGCAAGTGTTAAAGGGACTTCATTGGAAAACATGCCTGGTGTATCTCGACGATATTATTATCATGGGAAAAAGTGTTGATGACCACTTGAAAAATTTGGAGGAAGTCTTTCAACGAATCGCGGCAGCTGGATTACGCTTGAATCCCAGAAAATGCTCTTTGATGAAAACGCAAGTTACATATCTCGGACATAAAGTGACGACGTAAGGCATTCATACCGATGAGGAAAAGATAAATGCAGTGAAAGATTGGCCTAGACCAACAAACATACATGAATTGCGAAGTTTCCTTGGCCTATGCACCTACTACCGTCGATTTGTCCCAGGATTCGCCAATATAGCAAGAAGTCTGCATGAGCTTACTCAAAAGAATAGAACATTCATGTGGCAAAACGATCAAGAGAAAGCTTTTCAACAATTGAAGCAAGCTCTTTGTACAGCACCAATGCTAGCATATCCAGTACCAGGGCAGGAATTTATTTTAGACACCGATGCGAGCGCTTACGGAATTGGCGGTGTTCTTTCCCAGCTTATCGATGGTCAAGAAAAAGTGGTGGCATATTTTAGCAGGATTCTTGGAAAGCCAGAAAGAAATTATTGTGTAACTCGAAAAGAGCTGCTGGCGGTAGTGGAATGTGTAAAACACTTTCATAAGTACTTGTATGGTCAAAGATTTCGTTTGAGAACAGACCACGCAGCGTTGAGATGGTTATTACAATTTAAAAGCCCAGAAGGACAAATCGCTCGATGGATAGAAAGGCTACAGAACTATGATTTCAAAATAGAGCACCGGAAGGGTGTCCAACATGGAAATGCTGATGCGTTATCGCGACGACCTTGTCAGTTAGAGTGTAAACATTGCAGTAAAAATGAATTAAAGGAAGGAATCGTTGATATTCGTTTGACAAGTTTACAACCAGCAGAAGATTGGAACCCAACCAATATAAGAAGCAGTCAACTAAAAGATCCTGATCTTACAATGTTACTAAAGTCCAAAGAAGAGCGATCACGGCCAACCAAGGAGCAGATATCCTCCGAAACCCCCACTGCAAAGGCATATTGGGCACAATGGGACAGCATCCATCTAGTCAATGGGGTCCTTCACCGTAGTTGGGAAAGTGAAGATGGCAAGCGTTCTCGACTCCTAATTATCGTTCCGAAATCCAAAATTGCAAATGTGTTAGAAGAGTTTCACGATGGGCCAAGTGGAGGGCACCTTGGAATCACAAAAACTTTAGACAAGATCAAACAGCGGTTCTATTGGGTTGGTTGCCGTGAATCGGTAACGGAGTGGATTCGAAATTGCTCAAATTGTATGGCAGCAAAAGGTCCTAAGGTAAAAAGCCGAGGTAAGCTGCATCAATATAACGTTGGAGCACCATTTGACGAATGTTTTGCCATGTTCTGTAGCGGGCATATTCCTAATCCGTGATCTCTTGGGAACAAATATTTACTCGTTGTTATGGATTATTTTAGTAAGTGGCCAGAAGTATACGCTTTACCGAATCAAGAGGCAAAAACAGTAGCAGAAGTGTTTGTACAAAACTGGGTAACAAGATTCGGAGTCCCAATAGAGTTGCACTCCGACCAAGGTAGAAACTTCGAATCTACAATATTCCAAGAAATTTGTACAATGATGGGCATTAGAAAAACAAGGACAACGGCTCTGCATCCACAGTCAGACGGCATGGTAGAAAGATTCAATCGGACTCTAGAAGAACATTTGCGAAAAGTTATAAATAAATGCCAACGAAATTGGGACAAGCACATCCAAATGTTTTTGATGGCATATCGATCGGCTAAGCATGAGACAACGGGTCACACACCAGCGCGTGTGGTTTTTGGATCTGAATTGCGGCTTCCTTGCGACCTTAAGTTTGGAGCAACTAATGCGGTTGAGCACAGTGAAGAAAACTACTGCGATATGATGAAAAACGAAATGAATGAATTACACCAACAGGTAAGACAACACAGCCAGCTGATGAGTAATAAGATGAAAGATCGATTTGACCGAGCAGCAAATTCTGAGGGATTCGAAGAAGGCGACTTGGTGTTGCTATATAACCCCCAACGTAAGAAAGGTTTATCTACGAAATTACAAACATCTTGGGAAGGACCGTATATGATTATGAAACGGTTGAATGACGTCGTGTACCGTATCCAGCGTTATGGAACGACTTGTTGCAAAATGAAGGTAGTGCACCTGGAGAGGCTTGCTCCGTACGGCTCTAAAGGATTTGTGCCTGATCGGGTCGATCAGGCTTAAGTGGAAGGCAGTGTAACAAATCTAGTCTGGCAATAACATCGTACAACACGGCAACACGGCGAGTTGGCAAGAAAGAAGAAAATAACAAAACAGAAAAGAAGAAGATGTCTGCTGTCTAGTCGAAGAGTTGTAGTTGAGTTGTTGACAATCCCGCGATTCGAACGGAAGCCCAAAGATAATTTGTAAACCATACATAAGTTCATAAATATTTTTAATTTAATAATTTTAGTTATATTTATATATATTACGATTAATAAAAACGTAACAATA